CCCGAGATCCTGTGTCCAGAAGCAGCCTCTGAGCTGGGACACTTGCTGGCAGCTCCCTTTGGACAGAAATCTCTTTTTGTGAGAGATTCTCCTTCATTCTCTGGTGCTGCACCACCACCTAGTGGTTAACAGCACCCAAATTCCTGCCCTCAAGACTCTCTTTTTCTTTTTTTTTTTCTTTCTTTTCTTTCTCCCTCCCCAGAAACGATCCCAACCTCTGGAGTTTATCGATCCCCTGGCCAACAAAAAGCCCAGGATCTCGCATTTGGCTCACAGAACTCAACCCACCTTCAACGGGAAACTGAATTCTTCCAACGGGAAGGACGCTCCTGCCCCTGCCCCTCCTGCCTTGCCGCCGCCGGCTCTCCCGGAGTCGGGGAGCTCCAGCTCCAACCTCCCAGTGCTGGAGCTGCCGAGGCCTCACGATCCCCTTTCGGATGTCAGCAACGACCTGACTCACAACGGCAGAGACTGTGAGAACCCGGAGCCGGCTGACAGACTGACTCATCCCTTGTCGACAGACTGTCCCCAAACGAGCAAGCACAATTGCAGCTCGTACGTAAAAAGCAAGAAAAAATCCAAAAAGCACAAAGACAAGGAGAAGGAGAGGAAGGAGAAGAAAAACGACGAGAAGTGCAAAGAGGAGAAGCAGGACTGTGAAGTAATAAAAAACGCTGACTTAGTTAGTGTTCCCCAGGAACAGGTCACAGGTACGTACGGTCCGAGAGGTTCTCCCGCGCGCCTCGTGCTAAGGTAACGCCGGCGCGGGCTGCGCGTGATTTCTGCTCTCCATCCGTTCGAGGCAAGAGGTTGAGTGTCCACTTGCAGAGCCCGTGGTTAACGAAATAGTATCGCGGGCCCTACCTACAAATCAACAAACGCGCTTCTTCCTCTCAGGAGAGGATATCAGGTTTTTCCTGTTTAACCTTTTGTGCTGTTTGGAGCTGCTACAGACCGTGTCGTGTTTCTCCTTGTTAAATTAAAAGCCGTATTAATACGTGGGGCTGGAAGGCAGACATCAAGATGTGTTTGGAGGGGGGAAAAAAAAAAGCAGCGCTGCTTGATTGCTCACAGCTCTTCTGCTGGTGTTGGGTGTTGTGATGACTGTTGTATTGATTTTTAACTCGGTAATGAGAAGGTTAGTCGCAAAAGCTTTTAATACTGGGTACAAAAGAAACGAGAGATAAGGCTTGTGAGAAATGCTGTTAGAGCAGCGGACAGCCAGCATTGTCAGCCTGAAGGAGCTTCCTTGTGTCCTGCTGTTACCCTGAATTTCTTTCTTCGAGGACTGACACAAGCGTGAATCTGTTCCTCGTTGAGATGCGATGAGCACGGTTTCCATCCAACCCTCTACATCAGTTCTCTGTACTCTTAGGAGTGCTTTCCTGTGTTCTGATGGAGATTTTTAGGTTTTGTTAGAGCTCCCCGGAGCGCTGGGACTTCCCCTGCAGCCTCCAGGAACATCGCGGTCCCGATCCCTTGTTAAATTTCTTTTTGTATCCATCTCGTTTTCCCTTGCCCCATTACTGCTTTCTAAGTTGGGACATGAAAATCGCCCAGTTTTTGGCTCGGAAAGGGCTGTAAATTGAAACTGAAACTAATTTGTCAAAGTCCTGGAAAGGGAGGGCATCAGAGTTGATATGACTTTAGCTCTCACCTTCTCCACAGTCTTTTTGTAGCACCTATAAAATTCGTTTTGATCAATGCTAATTTTATTTTTTTTAATGCTGTTCCATGGTCCTGATCATTGTGTGGCACCACAGAACCGCATTCTTCAGATAATTCCTCGCTTTTGATCTGACTTTTGTGTCAATCCTAGGGTTTTTTTTTTCCTTTTTTCTCCTCTGAATGCTGTTTTTGTTCCCCGTGTACCACATCGTGCACGGCAGTGCCGAGATGCGCACACATCCCCTCTGGAGATGCCCGTTTTCATCGCTGTTTCTTACGAGTACCAAAATACCTTGAATTCTTTCTTGCTGGAGTCGCTGACCCTTAACCACCTTTTCTGCTTTGCTTTAAAACCAGTTTTTAACAACTGGCTCCTTGCTAATCAGTCGGAGTTGGGTTTTGTCCCTGCTGCTGATGGAGCGATCGCGACCAAGACGTGGTCGGCGCCCGCTCGGATCTCCCGCAGCCCAGCTTGGGATCTTCGCTGACCCTGCTCCTCTTGTCTCACGGCCTCCCCTTGGGCTGGGGGAAGCACAGTTTCTCCTGGGAGGATTTTTTGGAGGCGACGGAGGGACCTTTGGGGCCCTTTGCTCAGTCAGTAGGTGGCACTCACAGCAAAATAAAATTTCTCCCTTCCACTGTCTTTCTTCCTTCCCCATCTTCCAGCTGGTGGGCAGGTAGGGACAAAAGCGAAGTTATCTGCGAACGCCTGCAGAGAAGAGAAAGATCGAATTTTTTTAAAAATAAGTATAAATTAGGTTCTTGCTTTTACATGCTGGTGCTTGTTACTCGGGCGCGTCACGCTCCCTGCGGTCTCTCTGGGGTGGGAGCTGGGAGCGAAGGGCTGCTCAGTTGGTCCTTCCCTCGGCGTCTGGGGAAGCTGCGCAGTCAGGGCACTGCTTGCCCGAAGTAGCAGGCTTGGAAAGAAGAGCAAGGAAGAAATAAAGCTTTCACGAAGCGCTTGAGTTCGGTCCTTCACAGCCTTCTCCACTTGGCTCTTGTTTTGCTGCCTGCTCATGGGCACAGCTGACTTTTCGCGGAGGATTTTCAGCGTAATACACAATTTGTGAGAAGTAGCCCTCTTCAAACCTCTCTCCAGCTGCTTTCTTCCCCCAGACTTTTTGGTTTAGATTGAGAGTGGGCTCCATTCAGAACCTTGTTCCTCCTGAGGTCTTTGGTCTTTTTATGTAAACTCCTAAAAAACATCCTCAGCTGAGCCTTCCTTGATTCGTGCTTCTTCAGCTTTGTAGAGCCGAGAGCACTTTGACTTGTCTGCGGGGCAGCGTGAGGAAGAAAAATGCACGTCTTAAACCTCTCTGGTGTACCCTGTGGGAGTGTGGAGGATTAATAACAGGAATCTGAACCTGGAGCATTAGTAGTGGGAGCTTCTGTAGTTGTACAAGGGGGAGAAAAGAATTTGCACCTTGCTCTGCTCTGTCCTGCTCGTCTGGACTCGTAAATCTGTTTTGCGCTCCAGCGGTGGCGGTATCGGTGCTATCCCACGCTGCAGACCGTGCTGATAAAGCAGTTAAACGAAGGGATTTTTGCTGCTTGGCGCTGTGGCTGGTGTTATTGTTTTGCTGAGAGACAAATGTTAGAGAAGCCTTGAAGTTTCAGCCCCTTTATTGTGGATCCTTTATCTTTGTCGGTACAAAGCAAACCAGAAATCCTTCAGAATTCGATAAACTGTACGTCGCAGATAAGTTGATGAATTTGCAGTTGAATAGCACGGAGCTTTAAAGTTTAAGAATGTCTATAAACAAGTTTTTATTCTTTCAGGTTTAAATGGAACATGCAATAATTCTAGTGTACAAACATCAACTTCAGAAATGCCAGATTATTTATTGTAAGTATATTTATCAGTTGCTTCATCACTTTGGGATCATGTTTCAAGCTGAAAATCACAATGTACTGGGGATTTTTGTTGAACTTTATTGTTACTTGATAGAACTTTGTAAGGCGGGTTTCAAAGAAAAAAAAAAAAAAAAGAGGAGTAAATCCAACATTGCAGATAGTTCCTGAGACTAAACTGTTCTTTACCTCCTCGTGGAGTTCAAGGTTATCTTCCTATAAAGCGATTGTTAAAAGTACTTCAGGAAACATTGTGTACCTCGAAGGGGTTTGGAAGGATTAAACATCTCCATGTTACAGTTGGAAACTTTGCAAGGAAATGATCTGCTTTAATGTTATGGAAGACAGGGCAAGAAGGGATTTTGAGAGGTTTGCTAATTCTTCCCCTGTTCAGAGCCAAGATTATCTACATAAACCAGTGAAATATTTTTCTTGGGGAGGTTATAACCCCTGGGTTAGGATGTGAGTTGTTTCACCTCTTGACTTCTTAATCAGATCCCCTCGAGGTTAATTAAACAACACACTTGTCTGCCGAAGCACGAAAATCCCTCTGCATAAAGCCAGAAATCTGCATAAACCCAAGCCTGGTGTAAACAAAGCTCTGCGATAGCAGAGGAGCGTAGCTCGGGGGGATATTCCCCGCACGCGTCTCGGGCTGGGTTTTAATGCCATCAGATGTGGTTTGGCCGTGCTGTGATCGCTCTGAGGAGGAGGAGGAGGCATCCGCTCCTGGCTCCGAGGGAGCAATCTCTGGAGCTGGGTGGAGGATCCGTAAGGTTCTCGCGTGGTTACGAAACCGTGGTTGGGGCTGCACGACCCGCGCAAACCGAGTGGGCGTTTCTAGTGCCGTTCAGCGGATGGCTGCGGTGTTTTTTCCTTGGAGCAGATGTGCTGATCCCCCCTCTGGAGGGGATATTGCAGCTCCATCCCCAAAGAGCTCCTGTCAGGTTTGTGAACTCCTGTAGGCTCTGTTGTTCTGCTTTTTGGTACAATCTGACCACTTCGATGCTCAGCTCCTTAAGTACGAGCGGTCCTGGACGTTTTGATCATGGAGACAGAGGTTTCACACCCTTACCTCATAGAGGCGTATCCTGTCTAGAAGCTTACTTATACCAACCCTTAGCAAGGAGTCAGTTCTTGAAGGCTGGAGCACGTTTAGATGAATAGAATGAAAGTTTTCCCTTAGTTTGATACCTACATTAGCTTCTCCGTGTTCGTGCACGGAGCCACCACTGTTGCAGACAGAGTGAGGTGGCAAATGAAAGTCATCACCTCCAGAAAGGATGAGTTTTGCTGTCAGAGAGGGCTGACTGCTGGGCTTTCTGCAAAATATCATGTTTAATGGCTTTTTGTCGAGCTGAATAACTTTGGAGAACGCGCCTCAAAGGCTCATCTGTTAAACATGAGCTCGCGTTCACGTTGGCGAGCTGAATCTTCAGAAGGTAGTGGAAACAGAGTCAAGTCTGTTCGACGTGGCTTCTCCTCGTGCGCTCACCACACAGTCGTGCTGCGAGCGTTTTGCAACGATAGCTGAATGCTTTTTGTGTTCCTTTAAAGACTCTTTAACACTGGAAGCATCGTATTCCTGCAAAAAAAATTCCAAGGTCTGGCACAGATGCAGAACTCCATGTTCTGTGGGACAGCAGGAGTTAGAAAAGCTGGAGCGGTGCTATCTGAACGCCCTCCTACACCCTCAGCTGCTCCCAGGCTCTGCTGTACCTGCATATTCCACCCTATCTGGCATAGATGGAGAATTTTGGGGGCAGACACTGTCTTGTTTTACACAGAGGTCAAGGCAGTAATGCTGGCTGTTAGCTCTGGGCTACTATAATGCAAATTGTAAGAGCCTGTTTTCACATGTGGTCACCTGGTAGACTTATTACCCTGGTGTTGGCATTGCTGTCCAGAGAGAAGACTTAACGAAACCGATTAACTGAATTATTCTCCCCGCAGAAAATACGCAGCCATTTCCTCTTCGGAGCAGCGTCAGAGTTACAAAAACGACTTCAACGCAGAATACAACGAGTACAGAGACTTGCACGCCCGGATAGAGAGGATAACTCGACGGTTTACGCAGTTAGACGCCAAACTGAAGCAGCTTTTGCAGGGCTCCGAAGAATATAAGGTAGAAACAGAAACACCTTTGGGAAGGCAGCAGCGCCGCGGCTCGGTTTAGCCGCTCGGCGTGCGGGGCCGTGCGGGGTGGGTCGGGGGCAGAAGCGTCCTGCCCAGAGCCCAGACCTGGTGGATGGCTGCGGGACGTGCACACAGCTGACGGCTTTGTAGCCTGTTCTTAAAACAGCTCTGTGTTCTTTCGTTTTCAAGCTGGAGCACACATCATGGTACTTGTTGACAAGGAAAGGCCTCAGTGAGACAATTGGCGTCTTTAGCCAAAAGCTGCTGGAAGCTATTAGTGTATCCCAGCCAGAAAACTCATATTCACACATATGGGAGCGTATCGGGGCTGGAAGGGGACTTAGTACGGGGTCATCTGTTTCTCTGGAATCTTTGATCTTAATAATGTAGCCTTATTTGACTTGTCAGACTGATTTTAAAAGAGCTTTAACTACTCATTATCTTGAGAAAGTAAGTCTCGTTGAGTAGAATAAACAGATTTTTACAGAGCGCCCCTTGTGCTAAGCACTATTTCCTCCTTCAAACATCCTTCTCTTCGAGAAATGCGGTGATTCCTCACCGATTTATTTTTATATCTCAGGGAAAAATTAGTCTGAGCTGTGAAGGAAACATCCGTTATCCTGCCAACCCAAGTGCCTGTTACAGGTAGTTCTTGTGGCCTGATCCTTCCAGTGCTTCTGGTGTCAGCACCAGGAGAGGGCTGGAGTCAGCGAGGCGGCTCGCAGGCGTCGGATCTCGCGGGGAAAGTCAGGAAAGGGGTAGTTTTTGGTCGGTATTTGGAGGAAACGTGTGAACTGAGCCATCAGTGAATGCTCGCCTGCTGCAGTAGGGCGCAGGCTGGTTGGCTCTTTTTGAAAATAATAATCTGTCTCTTTTTTTTGTCTTTTTTTTTTCTTTAGACCATCCACGATCAAATTTTACAGGAGTATCGGAAAATTAAAAAGGTAAGTGAAAATAGTTGGCTAGGAAAAGAGCCTTTTGGGTGGTGTCCCTAGTGTGACTGAAAGAGATGTGGCTTTGCCAAGTGGAAAAAAAAAAAACCGAACCACACAACTCAGTCTCTGAAGCATTCTAGCAGATCATTGTTCAGCTCGAGCTCATCCAAAAAGTGATCCCTTCCCCATTCAGAAAGGGTTTGGGGCGAGCTGAGGCTGCTCCTCGGATCCTGGGGAGCTTTCGGTTGCGTTAGTGGCAGGCGAGCACGAGAACGAAACGGGTTCAGCGAGTGCCTTTATCCCATCAAGGAGAGAACAGTTTGTATTTTTGATGCCTGGGCTGAGAGATAACAGGATCCTTGAGGGCTGCTGGGGCACGGGGCGCGATTCGAGCGCGGGCTCCGGCGCGAATCACTCGGGCGCAGCGTCCCCGGCAGGGCTGGGCACACTTGGGTTGTGTTGGATTATTTTTTTTGGAGGGGGAGCACCCAGGATTCTTTACATCTCTTCATCCAACATGTCAATGACTGGAGGGATTTATGATGCAGCTGAGTGAGGTGGAAATGCTGGGGAATGAATACACCAAGAGTGGATTTTTTTGTGGTTGGTTGTTTTTTTTAAATCTAGAAATATATCCCCGTTGTCGCTGAGGGATTTAGGAGCTTTTTGAAGAGATTCCCTCCAAGTTCGTCTTGGTTTTAAAGCTGCCAAAGCTCGCAGGACGCGGTGCTGCCGTGGGGCCAAGGGGCAGGTGATGCTCGCTGCAAGCTGAGCCGCTCGGAGTTGGGCTGAGCCTCGCTCGGGGGGCGCTCCTGGCTGAAAAGGGATTTTGTTCCTTGCCTGGTTTGAGGTCCGTTTCAGATGGATGTCTACTCCTCCTGCTAGAAAAGCATCATTCCTTGGGTTTATATTCGCGCTGTGAGGCCCGATGGCCTCGCCTGGGTTCAGCTTAAGTGTCGCCGAGTTCTGAGGAGCTGCCCCGCGTCACCGCGTTCTCGTTTTTTTTTTTTCTTTGCAGACTAACCCCAATTACAGCCAAGAGAAGAACCGCTGCGAATACCTCCACAACAAACTGGCTCACATCAAAAAACTGATAGCAGAGTATGACCAACAGCAGTTTTAGCTGGCACTAATCTGGACTGGGTAGGGATTTAAAAAAAAAAAAGGAAAAAAAAAAAGAAAAAAACAAAGGTCACCTGGGTGTTACGTTCCCTTTTATACAACTAGATTCCTTTCAGAGACAAGCATTAATTCCTCGTGGTTGAAGAACTTTGGGGATTCCTTACAATGCTGAGTCTGTCATGTCCACGTCTGAGCCGGGTCGCGAGCCCAGCGCCCGGCGTGGTCCTCTCAAGTTTTAACCTCTCTGAAGGTTGGAATGTAACAAATGAGGAAAAAAAAAGAAAAAAAAAAAAATCCACTTATTCGAAGCCAGCGTTTGACACTTAAGGGAAAATTGCCTAAAGTGAACGAAGCTCCCAAAGGTTAAGAATCAGTAGTTTTCCTGGATTAAAGTTTGGCATGAAGTGTAATTACCCCTGGCCCGGGTCCACTGGGTTACAAATTGTCCTTGGAATGGTGAGGAACTGGAATGCTGCTCGGTTACCTCCTCCTCTGGCACCTGCGACTGGTCGTGCTCAAGCTGTCTGCTCTCCGTGGCACCGCGTTAATACACCGCGTCCCCCCAGCTCTCCTGGGTCCTTCCTGCTTTTGTCAGCTCCGGTGTGTTGCTCTCTTGAGGTGATCGTGTCGGTAGGAGGGGATCAGCCCCCGGAGGTGGATCCTTCCCGTACAAAATAAATTTTAAAAGCACCCAATTTTTTTTTTTTATTACTTTATTTTTATTTTTTTTTCGAAGCAGCGAGTGTAAACATTTTGCAGTGGTCTCTCCAGCACGAGCGGTGCGGTCTGGCTGCCTTAACAGTGCTGGGAAAAAAAATTGAGTCCCTCTTTTGACTTTTATAATTTTATACCGAGGCAGCCAATTTTATTAATTGCTAAACGAGACTGTGGTCTATTTTTGTATAAGGAAAAAAACAAACAAACAACAAAAAGCATCTTTTTCTAAAAATGTGCCTCCCTTTTCCTCTTAGACCAAGTGTTTCAGAACCTCTGAGTGCAGTATTACTGAAGCTCCCGGGGTAGTTACCCAGAGAAGTTATTTTATTACCTGTACTGACCCCGAAGGGGGGGGGGGGGGGGGGGAGGGGTTTTCTTTCTGGTTTTTGTGTATTTCCAAAGAAGCAGCAGCAGAAAAATCATTCTCAGAGCAGGCGCCCGAGCGTGAGAGAAGTAAGGTAGCGTTTTCCCATGCGGGTCACTTCCACTGTTGTGCTTTATCTAGCCAGCTCCTCGGTGTGGTCTTTATTCTGGATATTTTTTGTTCTGTTTTTGGTTGGTTTTCTTTTTTGGGTTTGTTTTTTTTGGTGGGTTTCTTTCTTTTTTTTTTTTTGGATTTGAAGGGAACATTATTTTAAGAGTATGGCCAGGGTGTGAGAAACACGCCAAAAAGCACAAAGGTGTCCTTTAACTCTGCTATTTCTTTCTCTCCCCTCTCCCCTTTTAATCCTGCCAGCCTGTGTGATTTGACTTCTTCCCGCTTCCGTTTATCTCAAAGTAAAGGATTACTTTCCTGTGGCGTCTCCTTCCCTTGGAGGTTGCACTGAAGAGTCTTTCACCCTTTGAAGGAGCGGAATGGCAGAGTTAAGGAGGGGAAAAAAAACCCCAGTTCTTACACAAGGAATATTTTATTTTTTTTTTTCCACCCCAAAAAAAAGAAAAGAAAAAAAAAAAAAGTGGGTCCATCTGCTGTATCTTTAAAAAAAAAAAAAATAATAATTCCATTCTGGCTAGATTGGTTTTGCTCCGTTGTCCGGCCAGGGCCGCTGCTTTGCTTTGTCCCTCGCGATGTCCCGCGTTCT